CGAGATGGAAAGAGCAGCGCGGCTCCGGACTGGTCTGTGCCTCGCCACCTCCCTCCCGCCCTGCCCGGCCGCTCTGGGTGCCCAGCTGCCTCCTGCAGCGTTTCTCTCTCCTTGCAGTGCTGATCCCCCTCGATGAAGTCCGAGCTGAGTGGGAGAAGACCAGCGGCCCGTTCCACAAGCAGCGCGTGGCAGAGCACTGTGGGATATTTCGTGACTTGTTCAAGGGGGCCACGTTCACCCCCTGGGTTGCCCTGAGGGTGGAGTACAGCCAAGAAGATGAGTACCTCGTGCCGGTCTACTATGGGAACATGGTGACTCCGTCAGAGGTGCGTGAGGGGAGGTGGGAACAGCCTCGACCCCGTGGGAAGCCTGGGGGTTTCTGTCGGATGCTGCTCACGAGCATTATTCATTCTGGGAGATTTCTTTTCCAAGGGTCTGGGGTGAAGGAAATGTGTTTCTTGGATGTGATAAGGACGGAGCTTTGCCACAGGATCGTTGTCTGTCGGCAGGCTCGTGTTTACGAGCGCTCTGGGGGAGCTCTCCGGGTGGAGCTGCATTACTTGATGGCATGGCTATGCCCGGTCTGCAGTGCGTCGTGGCCATGCCTGTGACAAGTTCACGTTCTTTGCCTTGGAATCGTGATCTGGTCTTGATGGAACCTGCTGTTCAAGTGATTTACTTTCTCTTTGTGTTGCTGCTTTAGGCTTCCCGTGCCCCTGCAGTGTCATACGAGGCAGATGAAGGCTCCCTGTGGACTTTGTTGCTCACAAATCCAGGTAAGTAGCAAGTTCTTTAAAAAAACGCATGTTTAAACTGGGTTGTTTCACTCTGCTTTTGGTTAGCTCCTGTTTCTTTTGGCTGCACAGCCAGAGATGATGTGATATAAGCTAAGCAGGGACATATTACATGTGCAGGAAAGATTGTAGCCTCCCCACATCTCTAGCAGTTGAGAGATGGGACAGTGACACAAGAGGACGTGTGTCAGTGTAGAGGAAACAGTTCCCTGACTCCTGTCTTCTGTTTGCCCCCAGACTCCTCTCCCCCTTGGCAGTCTGCCTGGGAGGCAGGTTAGCTGACGCTGTTCGCCCTGAGAAACCAAGGCACAGTGAAGTGAAGCAGCTGACCTAGAAGTCTGCTTAATCTTGGAATTATATCTGTACAGTTCTTTGCTCCTCATTTTAAGCTCAATCCTATACGAATGAGTTTTCTGCTAGGAGAGGAATGCTGGGGGGTCTTAAGCTGCTCTCTCCGTTCAGAGCGGGTCCGGGCGTTTTTGTTTTGGGGTTGGTGCAAGCGCCGGGGTGTCCCTAAGTCGCCTTTCTCTGTTGTGTGCGTTTCAGATGGACACTTAAGAGACACGGACTCGGAGTACCTGCACTGGCTGGGGGGAGTACTGCGGCCAGAGCCGCACGCTCTTAGCTCAGGGGAAGCCCGGGCCGAGCAGGCAGAGCTCAGGAGCAAGCGCTCGCTAAGGCAGCTCCGTGGCTTTCTCCGGTGCCGCTGCCGTTAGCTGCCTTACCCTGTGCCCTGGGTCCTGCTAAAGACACAGTGCTTCAGGTGTTGCTCCTGTTTGGCACTCAGATCACTGGCTGTGATTTTTCTTCCAGTGAAAGCAGCCTCTGCTATCTGTTCACTTGTCAAAAGGGCATAACTCACGTCAAAACATAGCACAGAGTGATCTGCAATCCTGGGTGAATCCGCTGGTCCTAGTGCAGGGAAATGAGTGGATATATAGCGAAGTAAACTTCTTTTGTGCTCAGGACGAACATCCCAGGCAGCGACATCAAGTCGGGTGATGAGATCTGCCATTACTTGCCCCCCTTCCCTGCCATGGGGACTGGCTACCATCGCTTCGTCTTCCTCCTCTTCAAGCAAGACTGCCCCATAGATTTCAGCGAGGATGTTCGGCCGATGCCGTGGTAATTCAGGCTCTCACTGGGCATCTTCACGTTCACTTGGCTTGGCTGTCAGTGCTTGTTGTGATCACAAGCTTCTTACTGCTGTAAGAGAGCAGTTCCTTTTAACCTGCAGCGTTGTTCAGGGCTGCTTTGAGTTTGTGTGTTGCCTGAAGCCACAATCCCGGCCCTGCAGCCACTGCAAAGTCCTCTTGCTTGAAACCAGGCTGTTAAGAGAGTGGTTTGCCCTGCCCGGGGCAGAAGTGTGCACAGAGCTGGAGAAGATGGGAGATTTTGTGACTTCCTTTTCCACCTCTGTTTTACAGACTCTGGGGTGATGTGGGGAAGTAGTTGCCTACCAGGGTGCTGCAGTAAAAGAGATTCACCTCGCCTCTGGTGCTTGTGTCTTCTTTCCAGCCACAGCCTCAAGATGCGAACCTTCAGCACGTTTGACTTCTACAGAAAGCACGAGGATGCAATGACCCCGGCAGGGCTGGCGTTCTTCCAGTGTCAGTGGGACAGCTCCGTTACTTGGGTCTTCCATCAGCTTCTCAGTAAGAACTGCACCGTGCAGGGCTGCTGGGGGGGCCGTGCGTGTGTGGGCTGGGACGTGGCCCTGCGGGTAACACACGGGGCCAGTGAGCGAGCTGTGGCTGTAGGTGCTTGTTTGGTCCCAGCACTTGTCTTGGATCTGGTACAGCACAGGCTGGTGCTTCCTGAGCCGTCCTTCACCGAACTGACGGCAGTCGGAGCACACAACCTCTGAAAGGCTGTTTTGAACGAGCATTTTAAAACAACGCTGAGAGCCTTCACCAGGGCGTGCTTGACCAGCCCTGGTCCCCTGTGCGCTGGGAGGCCCTTGCAGGTGGAGGGAGGGCCTGGGGCTTGCACCTGAGCCCCCTTGCTAACGTTCTGTATCGCCCCTTCACAGACATGAGGGAGCCCGTGTTCGAATTCGTGCGGCCGCCCGTTTACCACCCTCCGCAGTTGAAGTTCCCACGCCACCAGCCTCTGAGGTACCTGGACAGATACCGAGACAGCGAGGAGCCCACCTACGGCATTTACTAGGGGCCCGGCCTCCTTCGAGGCGCTCCGGTGTACGCCGGGGTGCCAGCTGTGGGCTTCCCTGTGCTCACCCAGCTGTGCAGCTGAGAGCTGCCTGCGCCTCGGGAGGGAGACGACGGAGTCTCGGTCCCAGTTCCCCTTGGCTGGGGGCAGCAGGCATTCGCAGTGCCGGCAGCTGTGCGGTCAGAAGGCTGCTGAAAGAGGACGTTCATAGATGAAAGCAAATCCGTGGCCAGGCTGAAATCTTGCTACTGATTCTGTAGCAGAGCTGAGGAGTGACAGTGGCAGGGCAGAGCCCCCGGAGATGCCCTGCCTTGTTTCTCTCAAAGGATCACGTTCTCTTTTTGCTGGTTTATGGAACAAACGGAGCCAGGCCAGCCTGGATTTCCTCGTACAGCGCTGCGGTTCAGGACTCTGTCGGCTTTCATTTGTGCAGTCCTCTTAAAGTGATGAGTCTGATTAAACACACTCTGAGCAGTGCTGGCAGAGCTGTCTTTCTGGGGAAGAGCTTGGTGTCCCAGCCAGCTGGCGCGGAGCTGGGGAGCTCAGCAGGGTGCGGGGCGGAAGGGCAGCCCTTCCCCTGCCTGAGGTCTCTCCCCTCTTGGATGTCGTCGGATGGGAAGAGCGCAGCTACGCGGGTGGTAAACCTGCACAGGGCCAACGTCTGTGGAGCTGCCTTCTCCCAAAGGCTGCCCAAGGACGTGGAGCTCAGGAGCTCAGGCTCCTGCCCCTCGCTCCCTGGCAGCACGTACCTGGTGTGGAGGAAAACCAGAGCTGCAGAGCCGCCGGGGTTGGGCAGATGTGCGCCGGTGGCCTGGCACTCTGCTGCTGCCGGTCAAGCTGCGGAGAGGCTCTGCTTGCTGCTCTGCTCTGCAGGGTGCTCTGTGCATCCCCCCTTCACATGTTTAAACCCCCAAATACCAACATGTTCCTGCCATTGCAGGTGCCCGTTCCCAGTAAGTTTTTTTTTGTGAGGTTTCCCCCTTCCTCAGGAAATAAGACCCTCCAGGAAACAACTGAGACTGTGCTGAGATGCCTCCCCACTGCCGTTGCCTGGGGCCGTTACCAGCGACGCCTGAGCTCCCTGTACTCCCACCCCGAGGTGTTCTGTGGTCTGGGTTCAGCCAGGGTGAATCAGCTGCTGCGGTGACTGCAGTGGGAGTGCAGGTGCCCTGCGGTTCCAGGTCTCGTTATGCCCCTCTCTGAGCTTTGAATGTTTGGTCAGTGTTTGCAGATTCAGCCCAAAGAAATGTTTTGGGGGCTGGAGCTTTGCTGGGGTGTGCAAGGAGTTGTGACAGATCCCGGGTCACCTCCTGAGTCCAGGGGTGGGCTGGGGGGTGGCTCTGAGCCTGCCTGTGATAGAGAAACCGCTCTGATCCTGCAGCCCACCGGCGAGCTCCCCGGCTGCCGCGCGGACCTCCTGGCTGCTCGGCCCCGCCCGGGTGGGGGGAAGC